AGAGGTAAATTGGCAAAAGTGATGTTCAAAAAGTTTTCGTGACACACCGATTTTTCAGAGAGTCATTTCAAGCGAGAAAAAAAGAACAGAAAACTTTGTGAGAAGGGAAGATAAAGATTTAGGTTGAGGCGAGGCTGCGGTTCTCTTTGCTCTACCTGAGTCAGGTAATGAGTTCTATAGCCAGCAGGCTGCATATCACATTTCTGCAGCTGTTATAAAACAAAAAAGTGTTGTGTGGGGTAGATGAGGTAGCAGGCAGTGGGGTGTAGGAGGCAAGTGGAGGCAGCCGCGATGCGGTCAGCTCGGCATTGGAGACACGTTCAATATCTTCTATGTAGGTGTGAATTAGACCGGATGGACTGTCCCTTTTCTCAGAGTAAACGCTCAATACTTTTACTCTCTGATTTCTATAGCGAATTCTGGAAATGGTAAGTTTAGCAGAGAAGGTGAGCACTGAGATTAGCGAGGTAGTCTCCAAGCCAGCAGTACCCTTAGCGAGCATAGTGAAGTTTATCAAAATGTTCCGAATTTTTCAGAGAATTGTCACACGGACGAGTTCTCAAGGAGATAGAAGCTATTAGAGTGAATGCTGCAGAGGCAATTAGGCGGCAAGCTTCATAACGTTCGCTTGCTCACAACCCTTCCTTCTATTCCTGAAGCGGTTGCACTGTCTAGCTATCGGTGCCTGTTGCGTCCTTAGAGGCTTTTTCTGTCTGTCGGTAGCATTTCAGCGTTAATCCGCCAGAGCCTACTTCGAAATGCTTTTGACTGAAAAGGTGAAAATCCCCTGAAAGTGCGTACTGTAACGCCACTGAAATGGGATGAGCCTTTTGAGTAATGAAAGACTGAAATGGCTCCGTAATTACTGGAAGACGAAAGTTGGATATGATTTCTGAGGCAAGAAGTCAAAATCAAGACTTTCTTTCGATACGATACTCATCTCTCAGAAACCAGAGGTGGAAGACTAGAAGTTCTTCAAGTTTGCCAGAAAACTAGGAAACAGAGGGTGAGAAATGACGAAATGAAGGGGAGGAGTGCCAATAAATCATGCGACTTCCCTCCTTTCTCAATTCGAGCCCATGTGAAAGTTTTATCAAGAGCTAAGCTAACATTCTGGTCCAGGATCAAAGAAAAAAAGCAGTGGAGGCGCCCTTTTCTTTTCTGCAATAATCACTCGTCGCACGGCTCGCGTCATAGAAAGTTTGTTTTTATGTAGTCAGTAAATAGGAAATGTCGATAAGCGGACTTTTTGGGAGAAGATATTGTAAGCACATGGTCCAAACATTTGGGAGATATGATCACCTGCGTCAGAGCGCTAATAGCCACACCGGGTCGCAGCCACGGTGGCGCAGGTGAGCTTGCTTTGAGTGAAACAGAGTGTTTACATGTGGTTATGCAAGTAGAAATAGACAAAAGGGATTGACATGAAGGCATTCGGAGCAAAAGGAAGGGCAGATATGGACCGCAGCTGGCGGTAATGATCCATTTTGTTGAGGAATAATGGCGGCATTTCGAAATGGAGAGCGAAACGATGATGTGGGGCGCTGACTCAGAGCTCTTAAAGAAAGGCTGTGCTGTCTGTGCTTGAGAGGTTCGCCGGGTGGCAGCCAGCCCTAGCGAAAAGACCACCACCGATCTCAGGGGCTTTGGAGGTGATCGATAGCGCAAACAAGTAGGATGTCAATATTTCTGATGTTCATCCATAGCAATCTACCAAATAGAAATTCGATATTCCTTCCTGCCCGAAGCTTCTCATCCCTACCGTCTCTTCATATGGAACACTCTATTCCATAAACACCTGTCACGCTCTGAATGTTTTGAGAATGTCGTGAAAATGGTGTTTTTTAAAAACTATATGGGAATTAAGGAACTCACTATCAGGAACGCTGGCGCTGGAGATGTTGCGGTCCCGTTCTTCCAAACCAGCTGTCCTGAAATCCTCTACGGATTAGTTGGATGTGATTGAACTGTGTACGTTTGCAACGAGTACTTTTCCGTAACGGACTCCGGCGGCGCCTTAGCCAAGGCTTTGTCGTCGTCCATTATCAAACTGCGCCACCAGGATGACGACCTGCTGAATGGATGAAAATTAGCCGTCCATCATGGATTCACATAAAATTTTATTCAATCCTGCAAATCAAGATATGATGGCTCACGGAAAGCTTTAAGCCGAAGTGCCTATTAATGGGAAGAATGAGAACAACTCAGAGGGGCTTTCCCTTTCTCAGCTCATACTGCTAGCAATGTTTTTCTATGACTTACAATTAGCAGTATATCTTTCTTCGCCGTTAGTCAGACACAGATAAATGAAGCTGCTAAATTTTTCCCATCACATCGCCCAGTCTCAGGGAACTATCTGCGCTCAGGAGCCGTTTTCCGCAGAAACTGGGTATTGGCCGACAATAAACTGCAAACCATCAACCAGCTTGTTACGAAGAAGAATAACTATCTACCTTCGGAATACTAGCATATTTTCCTATATTGTTGCAAGGGTATTGACTGTGGACAAAACAGGCCTACCGGTAGTCAAAGCAAAACTGGCAATTCACAAGTTTCGGTTGAGTTACTGCATTTGCCGATGACTCAACAATCCTATTTTACATCACCGAAAGCTGTGATGAAAAACAGCGGTTTTAGCCATTTGTCTTTTTGAACTCTTCCGCTACTTTGGAGAAGAATTATGGCGCTTTTATGGAGAGGCTACCATGTGAAGGAAAAATGTTGGCCTCAACACATGCCCCTCACGTGAAACTGTGCTATCTCTCGTGGGCCATTCATGCCGCTTTTTTCACCAAGGGTATTCATCTTCTATGAGGTTCTTCTGAGAGAAAAATATCGACTTAAATTGGACATTCCTATATCGTTATGCATGTGAAGCAGGCTTATAAAGAAACATGCGGAATTCGAAGGAGACGATAGGGACAATACAAGAGGAATGAGAGGCCAAAAGGCTCTTGGCTCCGATCAATCCCGTTTTTGAGATATGCCCCTGCATTCGGCTTCCATTCAGAATTGGATGCGTCTGTGGCCAATAAAATGAATTGCGATGGCCAGCTTATGTACAAGTCAATGCATTTATCAGTCTGCTACCGTCCCAGAGGAAAAGAAAATCTCTATGGGGCTAGCTGGGTATTGCTCCAGGGTTGATTCCCAGACCATTTGTGGTAGCTCGACACTTGACTCTGCAACCCTACAAAATGGAAAATTGAAATTAGTTGATCAGGTTTTTCGATTGAATTAGGATCAGAGAGGGTATTTAGAAGAAATCGTTCTTCGATACATTAGCATAGCGCGAAGAAGTTCAGTTTTCTGATGTTTGCACAGTTATAGAGAGCTTGTTAGTCCGACAGCGTAACCATTGCCCACACAAATACTCGAGACACCTACAAGTACAAACCGACTTAGTGAGGTTATAAAAGAGAAAGAACATCAATTTTCTGTATTTCAAGGAAAGAAAGCGTCTGCTATTGAGAAGACGTAGTTCTATTCAAAAGGTGAAGCTGAACTCAGCGCTGCCGATTTTCTCTTTAAGACCTATAACTCAACAACTCCCATAAACTGAATGCGCTCTTTTCATCATTTTCTTTTAAAATGAATCACCCAGGCAACCCTACAGCGTTTCTAGAGCTTCGGGGTAACCATAGGCAGGCAAGTCATTCTAAAAACTTTTTCCAACTCAAAAGTTGAGCACAAACTTCCTCCCGGCATTTGGGAGAGAACTAGATTGCTATAACTAAAACAGCAAGAATCGCATTCATAATCAATTTTTATTGTGCCTAGACTTTCCATAATTTCCGTTCCACTTCGTGCTTGATCCCATAGAGATCCCACCTTCACCATCGTGATTCCAACATCTCATATCCTGCGTAGGCAGTACCTCCAGCCAAAGCTAATCGAAAATTATATTGTGAAAATTGCCACTCAACAGGCACCCTTGATTTGGACGCTCTATATCCCTTTGATCTGCTTTCGGACACTCAAAACTGTGCATTCAACGGGGCGCGCAAAAGCTGCAATTAAAAGGAATCGATGAAAAATTATCTTTGCTAGCGAAAAATGCCCTAGCATTCATGGGGTTGGCAGGAAGGAGAAGTCACAGGAATCCATGGGAGACTATAGACCTAATCAAAAAATGAAAATGTGTAAAAAGTAAAAATTTACAGTATTTCTTTAATAGATTCCAGAGCTACTACTAACGTCGAATGAGTAATGGCCCTAACATCTTTGCCACCAGGTCCATGAGCACCACCTTAACTTATTGCCCTCCATTGCTATCAAACAAAGCCACTTAGGACCTTCAGAATCAGTTCAGATGAGATCTGTGGAACAGGATCCATCTTTAGCTACCGAATGGCCGGTGCAGGCGCGATGCAAGAAAAGTTAAAAAATAGGCACTAATGAAAAGCATCGGAGATAAAAGGTTCAAACAGTGTTCTAAAGTGTATGCTCGGAATTCTAGGCTAACTAGTTAGGAACAAAAGGGCTGGGTGGTTAGACATGTATGGTACTCAATTTACATCCATGTATTTACGGCAGTTTAAAAACAGAACCGTGAATCGTTCTGGGATGCTGTCTGGCGACAGAAACATCTGTCTGCTGTGATGGATTGGCCTATTTCAAGGACAAGCATGCAATAAAGCAACCCCAATTAAAACCGAAACCCACATGCTTTTCGTAAGCTGTATGCCCTTGAGTGGTAGGTATTGTACTGCAATAAAAATAAATTAATGAATAAAGTTTTTTGTTAATCAATTCCTTCTGACGGATGCGTCCCCGCACTCGACTGACATTCATGATCGTAGTGGCGTAATGAGTGCGAATGTGGCCTATACAATGACTTGCGGTGGCCAGCCGATGTAGAAGTCAGTGCTTTATCCTCCCAGACGTGTCTGGTATCAATTCACCGACCCCGGATGGATGGAAGGCCTGGTTGGCCTAGGGGGCATCTGTCCGGGATTCGAACAGCTGACTGTGCGTCTGATATAGTGGCCACTTGCCACTACACCACC